GGGCTGCTTTGGTTTGGGCACCCCAAGGTGGAGCATCCCATTGGTTTCGGGGAGCTGCTCGGTGTCCCGCAGGCGGGTGCTCCGTGCTCCTCGGCCACCAGCCATGCCACCTCCCGGGGCCTGGGGTGGGCTGCTCGGCTCTGGCCCTGGCAGGGGAGCTGGGATGCTCTTGGGCTGCAGCCATCCCTGCGGTGCACAATGGCCTTTTGTCTGCGGGGCTGCCCCGGGAACATCCCGCCATCCCAGTTTCCCAGTAACATGACACCTCCTTCGGGGCTGTCTGCCGGAGCACAAAGCCTGGGGCTGCTGGGGGGGGGCAGCTCCGGCCCTGTCCTGCTCCCCCCCCGCGCTTCAGCACGTGGGCACCGAGCGCGTTGGGGCTCAGGTGGGTGGTGGGTTTTTCGCCAGCCGAGCCGGGGTCCTGCATCGCCTCGCTCCTGCTAGAAAGGGGGTGGCATAAATCAGGGGACCACCAGGAACGGAGCCGTGTGCCGTCCCCGTGCCCATGGGAGCCTCCAAGCAGGGATGCGGCCGACCCATGGTGGGGGCTCTGGCACTTTCCTTGCCCCGGGGCTCCTCATCCTTTGCAGGCCAAGAGCTCCCCACTGCTGCTCCCCAGTCCTCCCCGGGGGCACCCAGGGCACATGCCAGCGGGTAAGAAAATACTTGCGGGCCCTCCCCGGAGCCCATTTTGCCTGTGCACCCCCAGCCCAGCCCGCCCCATGGCTCGGGGCTAACAAAGTGGGGTAACAAGGCCGGGGAGGACCTGCTGTAAATCATTAACGGGGAACGCGGTGGAGGAGAATGCGGAGGGTCATTAATTGAGGACTTGCTGTCTGGCTCGCAAGGAAGTCTGGCTGCCTTATTTTTTTCTAATCAAGGTATTTTATTGCAAGTGGCACATCATAACTAAACAGGGCAGCATGGAGGGCAGGGGAAACGTGGGAGGGTGGTGCGGCCCCGTGGGGGGGGCAGGGGAAACGTGGGAGGGTGGTGCGGCCCCGTGGGGGGGGCAGGGGAAACGTGGGAGGGTGGTGCTGCAAGGGGTGAGGGACACCCGCTGCAAGGGGCTGGAGGACACGTGCTGCAAGGGGCAGGGGAACATGCTGCAAGGGGCTTGCAGGGGGCTGGAGGATGTGAGGTGCAAGGGACAGGGGACGTGCTTTTCCTGCCCTTTCCAGTCGAAGGGCTGGCTCCTCTGTCCCCTGGAGTCTCCACAGGCCCCATGCGATGGGGAAGGAGTCCCCCTGCTCCCCAGCCAGCCGGCAGCTCCACTGCCCCACGTGCGAAGGCCACCCTGAGCTGTCCCCGCTGGGCACCCAATTTTGTGCGGGGGCATGTCCTAAGCTCATCCTCCCAGCCAGGGCAGCATCCCAGGGGACACTCATCAGCCGCACACCCGGTACCTCTGGGACAGGAGACCCAGCCCAGGGGACGGTCGTGTCCAGAGCCGCTGCTGCTTGCTGTCGCTTCCACATTTCCCCCCCGGAGGGGTGTCTCCGGCGCTGCCCCCCATGCACGCTTGTGTGCGTGGACGCAGACACCATGTACTTGTTTGCCCCGGGGTTGCGTTCGCTGCCGGTGGCCCCGAGTTCACTGTGGCAAAGGGGACGCGCTGGAGAGGCTGCGCCCTGTCGGGGTTCCAAGAAAAAACTTTTCCCAGCCAAATTCCTTGACACTTTCCCTTTTACTCAGCTCCGGTTGGAAAAGCATCGGGGATCGAGGGACTTCCCTCCGTGCCGGTGACTCAGGTGGTGGTCACGGGTGACTCAGCTGCTGGCAGCGTCCCCTGCTCCGGAGGCACGGGGGGCCCGGGGTGACCGCAGAGGCAGGGAAGCGGGAGGGGAAGGCGATGCCGGAGGTGATGGGACGGGGGACGGGGCCAAGCTGGCTGCTGGTGTAAAGGAGGGAGCCGGCAGCCAGAGCAACCCTGGCCTCTGCTGCGGATGCTGTGACTCGTGTCCCCCTCCATGGGCTGGGGTGTTTAATTAACGGGCTTTGGGGGAGATGGGTGACGGAGGGCAGTGGGTGCAGCACCTTATGGGTCAATAAATGACCCGAGAGGCAGCAGGGCTGGGTAGGATGGCACGTCCTGAGATGTAACCGGCGGGTTTTCCTGGGGGGGAGAACTCTCCCACCTTGCCAGAGCAGGTCTTTGGGGCGAAACGGGCTGGAAAACTCTTTTTCTGGCAGAAGGAAAACCTGGGTGCCCGCCGAGCTGGTGGCCCCAGGCGCCGCGGTGG